ACTTCCTTAGCTTTCTTCGGTTTTCGTCCCTTCGCTGCAGGCTTCTTCTCAACGGCCGCGTCCGTCACCGTCGTAGTGACTCCGTCCACAGGAGCGGTAACGGCATTTTCAAGCTCCATATCTGTCATCGTCGTCGGAAAACTGAAATTTTTAAGATCGGAAATTTGATTCGATAGAAACCGTAAAATGTAAAGAAGATGATGATGAAACGATAAATGAGATAATCCGATTTATATAGTTAGATGTGTATTAGATGACCTTTTCATATCTGTCTTCTGATTGGTTAAAACAATGAGTACGCGGATCGCTAGTTTTATTTCCTAAGTTTGAATATTAATCGTTAGATCTTTTGTTGATCAACGGCTTAGAATAGAGGACTTTAGATGGTGGGATTGAGTAAGTTAGTGGATGTGGATTAGATGCTTTTAAGGATATTTGTTGTGCTTTTAGACTCGATTGATTTTATAATAACTCTTGATATACTTGATGAAATTCGTTTTTGTTTTTTGCATTGTGTAGGAAATTCTATGAGGTTTCGTTTGATTATCTAAACGTGATAAATGGATTATTCTGCAATGAGATATTTTGGTTTGAAGGAAGATATGTCATGAGAACTGTTTTTCTTGGTGGTGTTACAGTATATCTGGGTTTTTCGAATAATGCTGAAGAGAAGTTTGAAGAAAATTATGTTTATTAGAAACTAGACAAACCAAGGAGTGGATAGAACCATGAATCGTGGAATTTCGATGAGTTTTCGATGCAAAAACATTTGATTGAATAGTACCTAAGATGACCATTTTCTAGAAATATGTTACATACCTCTTGTTGATCTGTGATGGTGTCTATGTTAAATGAGTCCGGATTTAAAACATTTTGCTTAATGTGATTTACTACTTTAAGTATATAATCAAATTACTTGAATTTGATACCGAAACATTTGTATAAAAGTCAACTATAGTTATGATGTAATAGGTTCCATTTCGTAAGAGCAAACTCATTTACGTGATCAATTAGGTGAGATCGAGAGTTATAGATTCGACGCATAAACACAGATTATTTATTCAGAAACTGAACATCTTCAAATCGAATTACATAGAATATATTACTGTTGATTCGATAGAACATCTTTGAATTCACGACGTAGACGTTTTGCACAATAACACGAGTGACTGTGAGTTTCATTTGTCTCCATCAAAAAATTGTTATGTCGGTGATTCTAACAATCGACGCAAACAAAGTTTTCTAGCTTTCTAATAGTTTGTGAGGTAATGAATAATGGACATAAATGGTTCAACCGATGTCATGCATCTTTACATTCTATTGTTGAAAGGATCTTTAGAGCTTCGAAGAAAAAATGAAGGATTCTTTGAGAATTTTCAAGAAATACCATTTGTTCAATGGACACAGAGTAGAAGGGGATAAAAAAAAAGAACTTTGTATTTTCTTGGACAGAAAAGCGTCTCATGAGTGTATCTTCGTTTACAGAAAACAAAAAAGATTACTAAAAATTTCACAACACATTCGACTGCTCCTGCAGTTCAAGCAATGTCCATCTTCTGATGCTTTGGGAGATTGCATAAAGAGGAAAAAAGATTACTCTTTTTCCACAGAATCTTCTTCTGCAACATAAAGTTCTTTACTTGTCGCACTCAGGATGTTTTCGAGCATAGCCAAGCACCATCGTATAATCCTTTGCAGAGGAACCTATCGACGCAGCAAATCGTTGGTGCTTTGAACTTGACTGCAACCATAGATCCACCAGTTTCTGTAGCTCCAGTGTCGGGATCACCGCTTCTCCCATACATCTTATCTCTATCTGAACATAAACCAACAATACGTTTTTCCGTTAATCTAAGGACATACTCAGCAGTTAGCTCTAAAGAACTGATGAGACCCCTAAGCGAGGTTCTTAGTTTATGGCTTGTGGGTCAGGAAAGTTAAAAGGTGACAGTTATACCCTAGACTCCTAGTCATAGATCCACTCTACAATGAAGAAACTTGCACCACGAATAATGTTACTCTAAGGGATATAAGCTAGAAGCAGGAAACGGCTTACCTCCGTTTCACTCTCGAGGTCTAGCTTCTTCATGAGGTACTTTTGGATGAAAGAAACTGGAATAGTTCCATCCCTGCCACGGAATGAGACAACGGATTATCTTTCCCAACATAAATATTCTAAAGAAGTAAAATGACATGAGGATACTTCAGCAGAAAATGTGAGTTTGTGCTCATTCTCTCCAAGAAAACGACTAAGCGACTTGAAAAGGAGAAAGAATGGCTAGTTAAACTTGCAAGCACCCCCAATTGGTCAAGTAAGTGGAGTAGAACAGTTGATAACAAGAAACAAATCCGAGAACCGAGAAGCATACCTTATTCTCAAAAAATTTGCTGGAATCTGAGGCAAAGAAGTTTCTCCCTCCCTGAAACCACCAAGCCCTTTGTCAACATATCAAGAGAATAGAAACCGCAAGAAGAAAGAGAAGAAATATTCATGAAGGGAAAGAAAAAAGTTCGAAATATGTGAGCAAGAATCTCACTGATCATTGGATGCCACAAGTGAGAACCAAAAAGGACCATTTCTCCTCTCCCGTTTTGCACTTGACTCATCCGGATCAGCAAAGGTAGATGCAGACCTTTTGCGTCGAGTCCTACGCTGTTTTTTAGGAGTAGCAGTTTCTGATGTTGTAGGATCACCATTATTACTCTTTTCATCCTCACGCTTACATTTGCTTTTGTGATCCTTAAGTTTGGTTTTATTCCTTTGAAATTGATTGTGAGATGCATTCGCGTGCTCAGATTTCGAGCCTGGCCCTTGAGAAGCAGAAGACTTCACGGACTTTGTCCTGTTTGCCACTTCGACCAGAAAATTTAAAGGTTTCCAATCCCAGGGTTCATCACCATCCTTGTTTTCTTTATTGGATAAGGAGTCTGCATATGACTGCAAAAAACAATACTCTAATGAATGGGAAACCAGAAATACTATCCAAACTTTACTGTTTTTCATTTTTGAAACAGAAATGTTTCTCTCATGCTAGAAATGTGCGAAGATATTTGTGAAAGGGACTTCTTTACCCGAACAAAAGAAACATGTGAACAAATAAAGCTTGCCAAATATGAAATGAAAACCAATACAAGAAAATAGGAGATCACCTTTTTTCCCTGCCTTTTATTCTGAGTGGATTTGTTAAGAGTGTCAGGTGAGCTTGTGCTCTCTGGAAGATCATCACCAGAAGATTCCTCTTTCTTCACAGTTTTCTTAGCCAAAGAAGCTTTACCTCGTAACTCTTTTCTCGTGACCGCTTTACTTCTTTTCCCCGTTTTTCCGGCATGTGCTGACACCTTTGGTATGCTTACAACCAAAGACGATATAGATCTCTCCTTCCTCTTTGCTGGTAAGGACACTATTTCAGGAGCTTTCACTTTCTTTCGTTTTAGAGGAAAGATTTTGGCTCTCAAATCTTGCAAATTGTGGTCAGGCCTAAGAACATGCATAAAAGTGGCTCCTCAACATACATATATGTCAACTACAAAGATCCCATCTTTACACAACGAGTATGAAAAAGGGAAAGTACAAAAGAGATTCCATTCTTATTCTACTTTAGATTCTCCAAACAACATATGGTACATTATCGCATAGTTATAAATGAACAAGACTCCAGAGATTGTGTTACAATAGTTCGTTTCATCGACAAGAAAAACCAAGGGATTGACTCCACTAAACCAAATCTTTGATGAGAAACGGTTTGGTAAGCTGAAATACAGGAGAAGATTAGATTACCTCAGCTTCTCCAGTGGGGTGCCACCGAGGTCGATGTTGCATACTGGGCAAGACTCAATCTCATCCTCTGTGATTTTCTCATAGATGCATTTCCTACAAACTGCATAGGAAGTTAATTTCAGTCCAGTATATATCAACTATCACAATAAGAACAAACATGATTTGTATCAAATGGTGAGCAAGTCTCATAATTTGTCTAAGAAACTCAAAAAGATAAAAATTAGTTGGTTTCAAAGTCCAGCTTTACTGAGCATTTCCGTTGTTAATAAAAAGGGATTTGATTGACTCGCATTGTTGTCATTAACCATCTCAATTCAGAAAGTTGACTTATTGAAATTATTGATTAAAATCTCTCAGGTGAGCTAATGTAAGTCATCTAGCATATGCATCCAAGTGCTTATCATCGTGCAAAAATATCCAATAACATAGTTGATTGAACTAAACAAGAAAGAAGCAGAAACCCAGAAGGAAACTTGTAGCAGTCAAAAATTGCATATATATATATATATTTTTTTTCCAATTACAGAACGAGGAGAAGACGAAGACAACAAAAGTTTGAGATGTATGAATTAAGAGTTATAATCATAACAATTCCAGGATATGAGAGTAAATTTGAGAGATTTGAATGAAGAAGGTAGAGGAAGGAGGAACTGACACGTGTGAAGGCATTCGGAAATAGTGGTGGCGTCACGGAGGATATTGTCGCAGAGAGGACAGCTCAAGCATGTCCTCATCGTTTCCCTCTTCACCAGACTCGCCATCTCTCTCTCGATTGGGCTACACGTGAAATCCACAAAACTGCATGTCGACGAAAACGGCGAGCTCCATGTATAAGAAGACGCGCTCAGATTTGTGTCGTCATTGGCTCCTTCCTCAAAGTCGTCGAGAAGAAGCGAAGCAATTCCTCAATCGGACGGACGATGGTGATCTGAGGAACTAATATGATGATGGTTAGAGAGAGAGATAAATATGGAAGAAATCGACGTACGACTCGGACAAGAAGAGAAGAGGCCGTGTAATTAAAATTTAGAGAGACGATGTGACTTTAAGACAAGAAGAAGGGTTTTGAGTTTAACTTATGTCTACTACAGTAGAACAAGAAGACAACAAGACCTTTTTTTGTTGTATTCAATGGCCAATGGGAAAAGAAAATACCTAATAAGCATAGTTAGCAATTTGTACAAGAAAAGAAATCATCTTTGTGAACAATCATTCAACACAATCAATCTGACACTGATAAATCCATTCGTGATGGATTGGATTTGGTCACGTATGCCTTATAAGTCTAGTATATATGCGGATTTTGAATAATGGTAGTAGTAAAGATTCTTGTATATTTACGAGTAAATTCTCTTTAAGCTAAACTCGACTAATCAACACAATAGAAGAAAGGGGCAAAGTCAAAAGGCCTTAGGAGTTGTACAAAGAAAAATGTGCCCATTATGCCACATTGTTCCAAGATACAAAAAAAGGGCGAGCCACCCCCACCACTACTTGTTAGAAACCGAGAACCGAAAAATCAAAAGACGAGGTGGAGAGCAGGGAGCACGGTCACGACTTGACTGGACGTTCAACAGTCACCAACATCCGGGTTAACAGGCAAAGGAACATGTCCCTAACGTTTTAGGGGAGGCATGAACTTCATCATCCTCCCACTCCTTTTGGTACTTCTCCAAGGAAGGGAAATGGTCGGACTTCCCCTGCTTCTCCACATAGTCCCTATACTGCCAGTACTGCTTAGCCATCACAGCTAATTCTCGATCAAGACCACCCTTCTTCTCCCACTGAAGACACATTTGATATGCCGTCACCATCCTTGCGGTTGACTCCATCAGACCCATGTCCTTCTTGAGCTGTTCTTTTTCCAGGGCCAGCTTTTGGTGATCCTCCAAAGAGAACCACTGTTCGGACTGTGCCACCGAGTGGGAAGTGACCCGATCCAACCTCACTTTTAGCTCAGCAGCCTCTTCTGACTTGGCTTGCGCCAGCATCTGGAGTATCTCCGATTCTGTCTCCTTATTCCTAAGTTCCTCCTCCGCTATGACCATATCCAGCCTCTTTAGCCCAGCAACCTCTTCTGACTTGGCCTGCACCAGCATCCGCAATATCTCCAATTCTTTCTCCTTCGTCCTAAGTTCCTCCGCGGTGACCCAATCGACCCCGGAGAATTCTTTGATGAACGAAGATAAAGCGTGTTCCGAGGCATATTCTTCCATGCCGGAGTACACTGGAATAGAGATGGAACCTGGCGCTTTCACCTTTTTTCGTTTTAGAGGAAAGATTTTGGCTCTCAAGTCTTGCAATAAAGTGGCTCCTCAACCTACAATTAAGTCAAATACAAGATCCCATCTTTACACAACGAGAAAGAAAAAGGAAAGTAAAAAAAGAGATTCCATTCTTATTCTACTTTAGATTCTCCAAACAACATATGGTCTTAACTAGAAATGGTGAAGCTGAAAATACAGGACAAGATTAGCTAACCTCAGCATCTTCAATGGGGTGACACCGAGGTACCGGACAACACTCAATCTTATCCTTTGTGATTTTCTCATAGATGCATTTCCTACAAACTGCATAGGAATGTAATCTCACAAGTCAATACATTCCAGTAGATATCAAATAAGAAGAAGATGATCCGTATCAAATGTTAGCAAGTCTAATAATTTGTCTAAGCAACTCAAAAGAGCTTCACTAAACACTTTATCATTGTTAAAAATTGCATTTTTATTGTCAACATTGACCCGCTTTCAGTTACAGAGGCAAGAGATGTACGAATCAAGAGCTATAATCATCAAAATTCCAGAATAATAAAAAAAAAAAGGGTAGAGGAAAGAGGAACTGACACGTGTGAAGGCATTCGGAGATAGTGGTGGCGTCACGGAGGAGATTGTCGCAGAGAAGGCAGCTCAAGCATGTCCTCATCGTCTCCTTCTTCACCTGACTCATCA